GAAGGAAGGAAGGAAGGAAGGAAGGAAGGAAGGAAGGAAGGAAGGAAGGAAGGAAGGAAGAAAGAAAGAAAGAAAGAAAGAAAGAAAGAAACTGAGGGGAGATACGATAGCTTACTACAAGTATCTAAAAGGATGTCACAGGCTTGTTCTCTGTTGAAACTGAGAACAGGAACACTGAACTGGATATTAGGAGGAATTTCCTGATAGCAAGAGCTGTTAAAGACAGGACAGTTTGCCTAGCATAATGGTGTACTCTCCCTTACTGGAGGTTTTCAAATGGCAGCTGGATGGCCATATGTCAGGGACAGTTAGTGGATCCTTGCATTGAGCAGAGGATTGAACCAGATAAGCTACAATAGTCCCTTCCAACTCATACAGTCTATCATTCAATGTTCTCTAGACAGCTGCAGCTGTGTTTCTCTAGGCACATTCCCCCTTGCCAACTTTGTCCCAAAAATGTTTTACTAGTTATTCTTTTATGATATGTCCTATGACAGCCTAGGCCAAGATTCATATTTATCTGCTCCAGTGTTAAATGTTTTCCATCTCCTGACACAAACCTTGCTGTCAGCAGAATGTGCTTAGCGATGGCAGTGCTGATGACGAGACAGAGGCTGAGATCTACCTAGTTCCCTTTGGCTACTTTCATGCCTGCTCCCTCCTCTCTGGTTGCTGGTTACGTCCTTCCACAGCCATTTTGCTTTCGGGAGTTGGAGTAATCAGAGACTGGCCAGGAGCCTGACTAACACTTCACAAAATGCTGGTCAAGCTTTATGCAGGCTCCTTCATCTTCATGGATTTATTTCATTTATTTTATTTACAGGCTGTTCCCAACAGCTAACTCTGAGTGAGATATAACTCCCTGATACATAACTGGGGTTAAAAACATTCCAATCCAATTTAAAAACAAAATCATACATTGTAATAAAATAAAGACATACTCATACATAAAGATATATTCAGAAACCAATTCATCCTCAGGTGGGATAGTTATAGTGAACCAACCCCCATCAGTTGGCTTGATGAAATTTTTACTAATTTCCTGGGAGGGATGGGCTGTTTGAATATTAGAGGGTATACTATTCTATAGGAGTGGAGCAGCAACTGAGAAGGCATGTCTCTGAGGGGACATGTAAAGAGTCCACTCTACTATATCTTATTGAGTGGGCAGACGTTACTGAGAGAAGGTAGTCCAGAGATACCCAGACCCTGAATTGTGTAAAGATTAAAGGTGATAATCAGTATTTGAATTGCATTTGAAGCCTACCCGTAACCAAAGCAGCTTAACAGTTATATCACATAGTCTCCTAACTATTCATACAACTCCATTCTGGATTAGTTGTAGCTCCCAAATGCTCTTCAAAGGCAATCCCATGTAAGTGCATTCCATCCCAGGAAAGGTTTCAATTGGTATACAAGATGGAGCTGTGGAAAACCCTCTTGGCCACAAGTGCCACCTGCTGCTTGGACAGGAGCTGTGAATTCAACAGGACTTCCAAACTGCAAACCAGCTCTTATTCAAGGAAGTGCAAGCCTGTCCCAAGCTCCTTGGAATCAGTAGGCTTTTGAACCCAAAGCCACTCCACCTTGCTGGAATTGAGTCTTAAACTATCCCTCCCCATCCAGACCTGGACACTCCAGGCACATGTACAACACTTTTACAACATCTCTTATTTGGCAAAGGGTGAAATGCAAAGTTGGGTATCATCAGCATACTGGTGAAACCTGTATCACCCCAAAATTTAGGGGCCTAGAGCTTGATGTCTCCCCATCACCATTCCTTCAGGCAAGAGAACCATTACAAAATAGGGACCCCACCTCTTGGAGGTGGCTCTGCAAGATGCCAAAGCTGCTGAGAGATGAAGCAGGACCAATAGGGTCACATCATCCCTATTTTGGTCCCACCAGAGATCATCCAGAAATATGATAAATGCTGTCTCCTTCCTAAATCCAGGTCTGACACCTGACTAAAATGGGTCCAGATCATCTTTTTCCTACAAGGCCTTATGTAGCTGCAGCCCAGCCACTTTTTCCACCACCTTTCCTAAAAAGAAGAGGTTGGAGACATGTTGATAATCCAATATATCGAGGCTGAGTGGTGGTTTCCTGAGCAAGCGAAACAGATAGAAGAGCTAGTGAACAAGAAAGACAAGCGAGAAGTAATGAATGAGCGTTAAGAGCTAGAGTGTGCAAATGATGCATGAAAAAGAGAGAGATGTGAGAGGAATAGACAAATGTGAGATGGATAACTGAGTGACTGAGAAGGAAAAGCAAATTAGAGTGAATGAGCCAAGAAAGATGAGCAAGATAGATGAATGAGACAGATGAGCAAGCAAGATAGGCAAGCATGCAAGAACAAGCAATACAGCGATAGTAAATAGACCCTTCAGCAACTTTTTTGTTCCCTCTTAAATGGAAATAATCAGTGTTTCTGGGAAGTGTTTCAAGTGAGCACGGTTACATAGAACAAAAGAGGTGCCATCACAAAAAATTAACAGCAAACCACTAATATAAATTCCTAGTGAAAAAAATATAACTACAAAGAAATGCAGCTTTTTGGCAGCAAATTTAAAAGACACTTTGGCGGTACTGCAAAAAGTAAAACAAAAAGAATGATGTAACCATTGTGGACATTGTCCTGTTAGGAGAGGACCAGAACCAATAAGGCTCAAGGAAACTTAACAGCCTTTATATAAAGCAGCTGGCTTTATTAAGAAAAAAAATTATACAACCACCTCTGTCTGCTAAGGCCATTTGCTGACTGACCCAGAAATCCCCCTTTTGCTAATTTCTTTTTAATCCCGGAACTACAATTTTTAACACAGACATGAAGTATAATGATAGGCTATATCAGTATTTAACCAAGAATCCTCCTTGGAACGCAGGACATATCAGATAATGGCAGCTCTTCATTTTAGTCAATAGCTTTCTGGCTAGTTCTGCTGAGCACTGGGTCTTATCATAACCTAACCTTTCATGCACCAGCAAGAAGGAATACATTACAATTGACTTGCAGCCAAGTAATACTTGGGGAGATGGGGCCATGTAAGCAGCGCTGTTGACCCCAGTTGCATATGTTGGGTGATTCCCCCTCTGTGGTATCTTACATATCAGACAGAAGAAGCTATCGAAGTTGAGAACGTGCCATGAATAAGTCATGAACATTTAACATGATGCTGTGGAGATTCTTGAGAGGCTTATTATATTATGCCTGGTAAAACCTCCTTCTCTATTAAATGGTACTGCTTTTGATTCATTCTGACCAATTTAATCACACACAAATTGCCCTTTTAGGGATCTTACTGAAGCTACAAAGTCTGAGCCTCTGGAACAGCTGTCCCCAAAACTGTTCTCCTGATGTCTATAATTCCAGTAATTCCTTGCCAATAATTATTGGACTGTAATTCAAATAATTCCCTGTCAGCATAGCCATTGGAATTGTAGTCCAATAAAAGTAAAGATTCCCTTGAGTTGAACTCACCTCCTGTTATTTACATGGACACATCCATGTAGTTTTCATGACAATAATATGGATTGTTTTGGGATGTTTCCAAGTATTGCAAATCACTGTAATTTTTTTCACCAAAAGTAATTATAGTTGCTTGCAGAGCTTCCCTGTTAACACAAAGAGTCTATGATTAAAAAGAACAGAGAAAAATCACATAGACCCAATTCTCCTTGCATGAGTAGCTTTTTTTGGAAAAGATGACATTTAAGTCTTAAAATTGCACCCTGCATGCGGTAATTTATACTACATTCTCTCTCTCTCTCTAGAACTCCTGCTGACTGATATTAATCAGGAGGAACTTCAGAAATTGCTGACTTCTCTGAAAATTATTTTACACATAATAGCATTTCCAGAAAAATATGATGAATTTTGGTATCACAAAATGACCATTGAATGCAACTGATCATACTCATAGATGGAAGTGAAGAAACACTGATGTCCCCCCCGCCAGAAAAAATCCAAAAAGATCAAAATTAATCTCTGAAATGACAATAGATTATCTTTATCCAAACAAGCATGCTCCTTTGCCTATATAAATATATGGCTGTCCTAATTCAAAAGACCATGTGGAAAAAATAAACATGTACAGTATGTTTAAATTTCACAACACATAAATTTACACATTAAGACTTATTATGGAAGCAGTAAAAGAAGTTCTTAATTTCATAATAGTTGAGGGCTATGGTAAATTGTTTGTGCATATTTGAAGACAACAGCTATATTTGATTTCAGCTTGTTGGAAGGTGGATCAGAAGGTATGAGTAGGCAGAAGATATGTTCCTATCATTTCAGAATCTTGGAATCATTGGAAGAACCACATTAATTCTCCTAGAACAATTGGGTGTCAAAATCTCTGTACTTGGAACAACTGCTTCTAACTCAGGTTTTACTTCTGAAATGAATAATCTCATTTGGAGAATCCACAGATAATATGTTCTTTGGGTTATAACAGAACCTATTCACAAGTTTACAGCATTAATCAAAGTCTCTTCTGATTATAGGAATGCTATTTAATGATAGAACAATAAGGCCTGTTGGTTAAAATGTTAGTTGATAAATAGGATCCTTAAGTCAGTCTTTACTCAAAACTAATTTTTATAAGAGAGTTGATTGTAATAATTCCTTTGGGAATTGTTATTTCTTATAAATAAAATCAGTTATTCATAGTTTTTACTTAAATGAAGTCCACAAGTGTATGGGGACAGGGGGAGGGGGTGTCAAAAAAATCAAGATGATAGTTGTGGCAGCAAAATCAGGGCTCTGCCCATTTTGTATGTGCATCAATGTCACATGAATGTACAAAGAGGGGGAAGGGGGCTTTGATTGCACTGTGGCAACTGCAGTATTTACTTTTTTGACCCCCACTGTGGATAGTGATAACAAAATACAGGAATTTATCTGTTTTATTTTCATAAATAAGATTGAACCTTGAGGAAAGGTTTTGATTTTCACTGTACATGGCAGAAGAATTCAGGGAAATTATTGTGGTTTTAACATGTATAATGGCATGAATTTTTTTTCCTAGAGGGAAAGTTTTCATTTTGTAATCTTCATTCTTTTCCTATAAATTATTGAATTTTTTTTTTTCAAAACTGTATTACAAATAGTTGTGGAAGAAAAGTTGAAATATGAGCATAATAAAGGTTAATTAACACTAACCCTGTATAACAAAAATGTACTAAAAACTAACAATCTTAAATTAAAAGAAACAAATTAATTGCAGAAGTGTGAAGAACAACATCAGTAGTTTTATATCATTTTTTGAGGGCTATAAAAACATGAGTTAGCCACCATCAAGGCCAGTTCCACCTGTCTTAAGTTATGTTCAATTTCAGTTTTATTATTAGCTAGCAAATAAAACAGAAAAAAGAGAGGGAAAAAGGAGTCAAAATAGAGAACACAAATAAGCATATAAAGCAATCCAGCCTAAATCCTCTGGATCCTCTGCCAAACAATCCAAAGCCTCCCAAGGATTCAAAGGCTAGATTTTAAATATTAAAATTTCACAACATTGTAAGTTGTATAATAAATCTTATTGGCAAGCAGAAAAAAATCAACATAGAAACTTATCAGATTGTCCAGGGATTGCTGCTAGAAGGGGAAAAATAAGGTTTTGACCTAATGTCATATACAACCTGCAGTGTAAAAGAACATGTGTTCTGATTCTCCCTCTTGTGTACCAGAGGGAGGTGAGAGACACTACTGTATGCATGTCATGTGTTCTTGTGCTCCCAGAAGCTAAGATCCATCAGGGGGTTTCTGTAGATGATCTACCTCAACAGAGGGATCATACTGATATTTCTGAAGATTACTCAAATAATCTGGATTGATAAAACAAGCAATTATATCAAAATGAGGATCTGATGCAAACAGCATCACTGAGGTATCTGCTTTCCAACTTGGACTAAAGTTAGAAGCTTTTTCATCCAATGTTTCAACCGGGTAAATTAGAGCAGATAATGTAAGCCAAGCTGCAATAACTTCCATCATGCAGCACATCTGATACATTGCTATTAGTTTCAGTTTTGATGTTAGTTTTAGTCATTGTAACCCTCTGTTCTTCAGAGGGTAGTGAAGGTTGCATCTTCTCTTGAACCAAGATTTAATTAAATGGGGTTTTGAGTGACATGTTATATTCGAAAGCAATTTGCTCTTGCCTTCTTGGTCTTGGTCTGTTCTCCCTCTTTTTTTTTACTGTCACACACAAACTTATGAACTGTCTAGAGATTTGCTCCTTGTTTTATAGTCTAAAAAGTTTATATCTCACTGTTCCTTGGTAATGTTCTATTTTTAATTGGAATTATGGAATTCAGTGACTCCATGGCAGAAACAACAAACACCAGAATGACTTTAACTGCATCCAATCTGTGGTATGTCTAGTGGATTATTTTATCTTTGGTTGATGTTTATTGCACCTCCCTTCTGTATGTTGTAAGGCAATGTTTATTGTCCTTTGACTTGAGAGAGATTGAGTTTTAGGCCTTATCACAGGTTGTTAAGGAGAGCTGCACATACCAAGGGAAAGGTGTCTTAAAGACAAATACAATTCTCTTACCACCATGCAGTTTAGATAGCCAAGTTATATCAATAAGCTCATTCAACTGAACTTTACATCTCAGAAGCAGAGTGAGTGAGTGCAGAACTGCAGGTTTCTTGTGCCATCTTCCTTCATTTATTTGGACATCAGCAATCTGCAACATCACTCCATTTGGTGGAAGCTGCCTTTACTTTCAACTGAGCAAAAGTTCTGCATATTATAAGGGCATGCCAGATTCTCTTCAGATGAGGAAGAGTTAATTCCCTGGTTGAGTACTGTCTGCCTGTTCTTCCTGATATTGCAGATGAGATTATCAGCAATTGGTCAGCCTTTTATTTTAATTACTTCAGCCGATTTTGAAGTATATTCCTCAATCGTAATTTTAAGTTTATTTATGATACTGTTAACTGTAATTAGCTGTTTGTAATTTGAAATAACAGTTTGAGCTGTCAGTGAACAATTCTTAGCAAGTAGGTCCACGCCCAAGTCTCTATCTAGACTGAAGCAAGCCTCTGCTTTGCCTCTTCTATAGGGAGCTCATCCTCTAAGGAGAGAAGCTCATCAGACTCCCAGTCCAACTGAGCATAATAATTACTAATAGAAGCTATAAAGGAAGCAGACTCACTTATATCATCCTTCAGCCACAGAAGATCCTTAATTTTAGGCTACTTGAAGACTTGTAAGTTCACTTCCAATTCAAAACTCTCTCTGTGGTTCCTTTTTGTTTAATTCTTTCATTTCTTAAGCTTAATCTTTACTTTGGAATTGTTATCTCCCATTTTTGTGTCCTGGCTTCACTGGAAGGGGCAAACATCCATGGAGCTGGCAGACAAAATGCAGGTGTGATCCATGTGATTGCACACAAGGCTTGCAGTGCAATTACATGCATCACATCTGCACACAAGACTAGAGACCAAGCACACACTAGGGAGAGGGCTTGGTAGAAGATACAGTGGTAGAGAAGCGAGGGAAAGCTGCAAGAAGAGTGTTGAAGCTAGCAATTAAGAGTTGTATGATTACAGTGAGGCTTGCAGAAACCTCAGGAGTTGGGCACACTCTAGAAGAGTGCTTGCTTGGAGAAGTGGTGGTAGGAGAAAGAGGTGAAAGCATGAGGAGAGTGTGGCAAGGGCAGGCAGGAGCAGAAAAAACAGGAGTGGAATTAGGAGAATGAAGAGCATGTGAATGCATGTAGCTGAGGAGGAGAAGACATAAAGCTGGGTCAGACAATTCATAATCTGTAAACACACAATATCTTGAGTGTGCCAAGGAAAAAGCCAGAGACACACCAAGGTCAAGAACATAATAGATGTCAGGAGCAAGAAGACACAAAACATGGAGTATGACATCAGATGCTGAAGTTGCTTCCAGCTATGGAAGATAGTCCCTGCATGGTTTAAATCCTCTTCCTGCTGAGTGTGTACAGCTGAAACTTTTCTTGCTCATTTGGCCAAAAATGAGGCACCAGGCTTGTTTGAAGCAGCTTGCTACTTACCCACAAGGTGATTTTGATGGGGTGCAGGACTCACGGGCTGGGGAAGACTTCCCTGCTTCTTGGCACCTGTTGTACAGAGTAAGGAAAATGACCTTCACAGAAATATGCAGGATACTTAAGCAAAAGGGTCTGAAGTATTTTTTAAGCCCAGAACAATGAGAAAACATTTGGAAGTGGCTTGGGCAGAAGCCTCCCTAATTCACTGAAGTATAAGAAGGAAGAGAAGGTATAGCAGAATGAGACTTGCAAGATTGATGTCAGCCCCACTAGGTAGACCTGACCAGAAAATCAACACCACAGGAAAGCTAACATTACTTTTATTGAGATTGTTTATAATATCAGGATTTTGCAAGTTTCATTGTGCTGCACCTCCTCCTCCTTATACTTCAGTGAATTAGGGTGGTGTCTGCCTAAGTCGCTTCCAAATATTATTTTGTTTCTCTGGACTTAATTTTTTTTTTAACTCCTTTTGTCTAGGTAATGATTCCTGCATATTTCCATCAAGGTCACCTTATTTATTCTCTTCACCAACAGGTTGGAAAAGGTCAGCCTACATGCCGTTGCCAAAGAAAGGAGATTTAACCGAGTGTGCAAACAGTATCTATTAAGTACAGTATCCTTAATTTTACATAGTGGCAAAGTAATGCTTAAGATCTTCTAATGCAGTTTAGAGCCCTACATGGAAAGGGAGATACCAGATGTTCAATCTGGCTTTAGAAAAAGCCAAGGAACATGAGACATTATTTATTTATTTGTTCAATTTATATAGCCACCCATCTCACATATGTCACTCTGGGCAACTCACAAGTTAAAACACAGACAACCCCCCATCCCCAAAATCATACAACAAAAACCATTAAAACACATTAAAAACAATAAAAACTATTAAAAACCTAAAAAACAATATACAAGAGTGCAATCCAACTTACTAGCAATATAGCCATTTAGCAGGTTCCTCACCACCACTACTGGATCCCCAGCCAAGATAGTAAAGCCAAGTCTTTAGGCCCTTTCTAAAGGCCAGAAGGATAGGTGCCAATCCAAGTTCCAGGGGAACGATGTTCCAAAGGGCAGGTGCCATGGCAAAAAGGCTCTCTTCCTAAGTCCCATCAAATGACATTTCTTAGTAGATGGTACCTGTAACATGCCTCTCCTGCCAGATTTGACGGGATGTGTAGATGTAACCAGGGAGAGGAGGTCCCTCAAATTGTTGTTAATGCATGCTGGATAATTGAGAAAGCCAAAGTGTACCAAAAAGGAAGTATTTTATTTATTCATTTATTTAAATTTATTGGCTGCCCAACTCCAATGGACTCTGGGCGGTGTACAAAACTAGAAAAAACATTAAAACAGCTAAAAATATTAATTCAGAAGCAAAATATGTGCTTCATTGATTATAGAAAGGCTTTTGAATGTGTCAGTCATGTCAAGCTGTGTGGAATGTGTATAGAAAAAATGGTAATCCCAGAACATCTCATCCTGATGCAAAATCCATACACAGGTCAAGAAGCCACAGTATGGACAAAAACATGATGAAACAAACTGGTTCCAGGTTGGCAATGGAGTGAAACAAGGCTATATATTTTTCCCTTATTTTTATTCAATTTATATACTGAATATATATTGACAGAAGCTGGATTGGAAAGAGATGAGGGTGGTTTTAAAATTGAAAAAAAAATCAATAACCTGTGCTATGCTGATATTACTCTGATAGCTGAAATGCAATTGATCTCCAAGGTCTAGTAATAAAAGTCAAGGAACACAGTAAAAAATATGGGACTAAGAGGAAATATAAAGAAGACTAAACTAATGACAGATACAGCAGTCAACTTTAGAATTGACAATGAAGATAATGAAATTTGAGAAAGTTTGTTCAAGTTGAGACACAGATAGAATTTAACACATAGGAGGTTGAGCTAATAGTACCAGGAACAAGGATGTAACAGAACTGGAACGTACATATTTACATGTGTTGTTCTGGTGCAAAAATTCAAGGGTTTTAGGGAAAAAAAATCATTGAAGTTGAGAAAATAACTAAACAAGATATTTATTTATTTATTTATTATTAAATTTGTATGCCTCCCATCTCCCCCAGAGATTGCACTAAACCCTAAGTTAACCTTATTATCAGCATTTAAGGAAACAAATGAAAAACTGCTGCATAAAGAATTGATAATATGTATTGTCGAAGGCTTTCACGGCCAGCATACGATGGCTGGTGTGGGTCTTCCAGGCTGTGTGGCCGTTTTCTTGAAATTTTGTTTCCTAACGTTTCGCCAGCACCTATGACCGGCATCTGCAGTAAATCTGCAGTAGCTGAACATGCTCTCAAGCACACTGGACACAAAATCCTATTTGAAAAC